ACCTAGTGTACTTTATCTGAAACATTTTGTTTTTTGCTAACTCCATGTTTCTAAGAAGGCAGAAACTACGATAAATATCCAAAATTTTGTATCCCCCCTGCGGACTGGGTGCGATTTCCCTCGGTGGACAGAGCAAAGATATCCTATTGTGTAGCTTTGCGCCAGAAGACAATTAAAATTTAGTTTGATATAAATGCTTTGTACTATTTACGTAGCCTCTCGGTGGCTCGGCGGTAAGTCTGGGGGGCTTAAAATGCTAAAAATCGGGTTTCGCTACCTGCGGTGAGCAGAGCACAGCCCATTCTGTAGCTTTGTGCTTAACAACAACAACAAAAAAAAAGTATTTACGTTTTGAAATAAATTATTTAGTATAAGTTGACTACCTCTGAATCTCATCATTCTCCACAAAGATTAATTTATAAGCATGATTGTTTTCATTTTTTTTAATATAATGCATTGTATCATGGTTTTTCCGTTAACTAATACAAGTAAATCTACTTTCCGAATAAAAGCGAAGACAGAAGAACCAAAGAAATATTTATAATTATATGTGCTATAATATTAATATCATCAATTAAACCAGTTTAGTGTTAACCAACTTTTTGTGTGTGTTTATAACTAAATAAGCCACCAGTTTCCTAATACTTTGGTGTTTATTTTTATAGCTATAATGATGTTAATGTAAATAATTGGGGTTAAAATAAATAAGTAATGTTTGTTATTAATTCTTACCCTATTTCTGATTTGTAAATGACTCGTATAAAATTGATCAAAATTATGCTTCGCCAACTTAATCCAGTTCACACATAACAGTTATTGTTCATGCAGTTTAATAATATAAATAGGGTCTCAACCAATCCTATATCTCTCGTATTCCAACCGGTCTGATGAGCTCTGGGACCGAGCAAAAGGCTTCGTTTGGCACTGGATATAGCAGATATAGTGTAGTTTACATTCTTCTTTACTTTAGCTCATAAGTTCCGAACTTAGAGTTAGTAATGAAATCTTCTTCGTATGATGCTGTGGTCGCTTAATCCGCTCCTGGAACAATAAGACTAGCTTGCTGGATCGCCAGTTCTTCTGAACGAGAGGTAAAATTAATTCTAGTAAAAATAAATTAATAATAATAAATAATCAGTGTTAAAATAATTCAGTAATATTGTGTTATTAACCTTTACTCTATTTTTGATTTTGTAACTGAGTTGTAAAAAAATCAATGAAAATTACACACATCTGTTAATACTTATAGTTCTTTAAGTTTAAGATTCTTAATCCTTCTGTTCTTTCGCTTTGTGGCCGTATATAACAGGAGGTCGTATAGGCTAGTCGTTTGGAGTTCGACTTTAAATCCAGTTACAAATAGATTTATATTAAATCCAGGTATAGAGTCATGAGTGGAGTACACAAGTCACTAACTCAAGGAAGTTTACAGTTGGAATAAAGAATTGACTCGCAGACTGAGATAAAAACACACACACACACACACTTTAATACAATATTTTAAGATAATCGTCTACATCGAGATTACCAAAGGTATCTTGAAACATGTTGTTATCAAATCTGTTTCCTTCAACTTGAGCCGGCACCTGTTCTTCAATTAAACTCTCTATGACATCCATTAAATTACTCAACACTACTAGTAATCGATTAATGCATTGAATGAAATCTGTGCAGACATAACTTTATTAATTCATCATACATTCAAGTTCTAATTACGTTATTCGATTGTAAGAGAGAAGTAGCAAGTGCATAAGGTTTGAGCGGGAAACGTTGGATACTTTTATCATGGTTTCAGGCATAGTTGGATCAGCTTGGCAATCAACGGCAGGTCCAACGGCTCCTTACTTCGAGTCAGGAGACTGACTTTTAGCCCAAAAACATTGATTTTTACACAGATTTCTTTAGTGTTCTTACGACTTACCAAATAGTGTACACATCTAACCCTCAAATAGATTTGACACTTAATTGGATGATTCTTGCAAACTCATTGTAATTCTCGGAACCAAAAACAAAAATACTTCAATAATTGGTCATGGTCGAAGACGGTGAATCGGTGGCCTGTTTACTTGTATCTCTCCTCGTCTTCATCACATCAAAGTTCCGACTAATCCCTTTTATGGAAGCTGTGAACAAGTTAATATGAACTTTTCTTGTAGCTTTCTCTCTGCTACAGTGGCGTCAGTTTATATATATAATGTAAACAATATCGTCGGACTGCATCTTAGTTTATACTTGACGTATATATTTCCTTTCATGGTCAAGCATCGTTGTGTAACTTCTCGTATGCATTCATTAACAGTGCTCAATTTTTCTGCATATTGCATGTATGTATATCATCTATGAAATTTCACAAAATTATAATTATCCTTTCTTAAAGCATTTGAAAATAATGTAAAATGCCTCAAACGATTCACGTAATGATGTTAACATTAGTAGTCATGCTAGTGTTACCTTTCTTGATTTATTAACGCTAAACATTGTGACCATAAAGGCGTCTGCATTTGTTATTTTTTATCTTTAATACTGTTAGTGTTAAACTTTGTGATCAAAATTGTGTTATTTTTCGTTCTTTTGCTTCCGTTAATTTTTTAAGTTATGCTATAAGTTATTATGCCGTTACTTTTATCTGTAACTTTGTTAGTATGAGAATCTGATGGAGTGGTAAGATTTGTGGTTATGTTTAAGTTAAGAACCGTGTTTAGGTACAGGTTGCGATTTATTAACTTGATGAGATCTTATGATCCTTATTAAAGTTTACGATCATAGTTGTGTTAAGCCTAGAAACCACGTGGATTCAACTTTTCATGAAGTTATTATAAAATCATTATTTTGTAGCTAATGCTAACCGAAGTGCAGAAAGCCCCCAGTCTGAAGGAGCAGAGGATCTTCCCCTTGATCAGCGTTCTGTTCTACAACTGTTGAAGTACTGGGCTGAATTAACAAGACACGACTTCACCTTTTCCACATCCAGTTGCAAAGAGGTTCTAGATTTTCTCACCAGAGTGTCTTGTTTGGGAGGTCAATATCAAATGTGGGCTGAAGAATTTCGCTTAGAACTCAATTTACAGGTAATCTGTGGCTTTAAACATTAGAAGTATCTTTTTCCTCAATCTATTTTGCAACGTTAATGAATTTTATTCACACATTAAAATTTTTTCTTCCAAAATTGTTAACTTAACAAGAGAGTTAAAACGTCTCCTACGGAGTTTTCCTTGCACTAAAATTCAATAGATACCATTCGCTATTCACACATTGTAAACTAGTTCAAGACACAGTATTATTTCTTCATTGCCGGTTCACCCATATAGAAATAATCCTCTGAAAGTTATGCTTTTAAAGAATATAACACTTAGCCCTCGCTATAAAATGCCTTGCCTTATAGTGGATTGCTTTTTTTTTATTTTGATGAAGATAAGTGCAATATAAAAAAGATTAAAATATATTCACACAACAAGTGTCTACAATATAAACTCCCTGTCATGATAGTGTATGTGTATGGCTAACGTGATTACCCGTGATATGTTTGTTTGTGTTAAATAATTTTAATAAAGCTTTGTAAAATAATAGTGTAGCTCAGTAGCGAGAATAAATTAGTCCTTGAATATTGCTTTTGCTTAAAAGTCAAGAACACATTGTGTGCCATTTTTCTTAAGAAGGTAAACGAGAGTTAATTTTCTTAAAATGTATAGAGCTGTGTGTGTCTGACTTATTTAGTTTTACGTTTTTAACAGCTAACAAAGAGAACTTGATAAGCAGTGACTGAATAACTATGGAAACATAAACAAATCCGACCGTTCTGCATGTGCTAGAACAGATTAAACGAAGCGCAACTTTGTTTTAACATTATTAAGGTGATTAACTATCGTGACAGTGTAAAGCTATAGTAATCTCGTGAGTGTTGCTGTTTGATAATACTTTATGTGACTTTTGTTTTCAGAAGTGTTCAGGATTATCTTTAATAATAATAATGGTATGGTTGCTTAAATCTTATCACATAACAATGAGACAGTTGCGGTATTATGTCTAATAAATGTGATGAAAATTTCATTTAGCAGCAGCTGTTTGTCACACTTTTAACTATTTCATTTCGCTTTTAAAAGCAGTCTGATTTGTAAAAACATCATTTCAAATCTATGTGTCACATAGGAGGCGTTTCGCTTAAATTAATAGCAGGACTGGTCAACTGAATTAGACATGTGACACCGAAAGTATTTGAAATGCTGTTTATATGCGGTACAAAAGCCCAATGCTATGATGGAAAACGTCTAAGTCAGCGAAGCAAGGAAGTTCGTGAGGCCTGACTAATGTGATGAAAATCACGTTTGACATCAAATGTCTTTATAACGTTTTCTTAATTAGGCAACTTAATGCTTTTACATCTTTTCAGGAAAATATGTGTAATCGAACGATACATTGCTACATCGCATCAATGCAGTATTGTGCCTTATTAAACAACAATAATAGTATTAGAATACTGAGTTTTATTAAACAAGAACAATAATAGTATTAGAACATTGGGTGTTATTAAACAACAATAATAGTATTAAATTACTGCGTTTTCATTAAACAACGATAATAGTATTAGAACATTGGGTGTTATTAAACAACAATAATAGTATTAAATTACTGCGTTTTCATTAAACAACGATAATAGTATTAGAACATTGGGTGTTATTAAACAACAATAATAGTATTAAATTACTGCGTTTTCATTAAACAACGATAATAGCATTATAGTACCTAGTCTTAATATTAAACAACAACAATATTATCATATTACTGAGTCGTATTAAACAACGATAATATTATTAGAGTATTGAGTATTATTAAATAAATAATGGTATTAGAGTACTGAGTATTATTAACAAACAATAATAGCAATAGAATAGTGAGCTTTATTAAACAGTTGTGGCATACAATAACTGTTTATACAAAACAAGAAAGGCAATATTACAGTACTTTAGAAGTTACAGTTTATCACAACTTTAGTAATATTACAGCATAATTTGTTTCTTATTAAACAATAATAAGAATATTATAGTGTTGTGATTTATAAAACACCATTAATTATACTAGAATTTAAGGTTTTAACATTAAAAAAAAACTCTAGGATATTTCTAATATCTCTTCACGTAAATATTTACAGTCTTGGCCAAAATGTTTGCATACTGTTCTAGATTGATGATACTGTCTACTACATGCATGAAGTAGTTATTGAGTAAATGTCTGAGTAGTAGCAGAGAAGGTAGCGTATGATCAGACAACCATGTACGAGTTGTTATTCTGGTCCGTATAAATTGTTTTGAGCATTTGTTCGTTAAAACACATATACATACCTGTTTTGTATAAAAGGGTGTACTTTGGTATAACCTTTTTCGAAACAGATCAACGCTTTGTTCAGAAAATGTCTCTTTACGTGGTGAAGAATTATGCCTCGTCACGTGGCGTCAGATTGTTCAACTGTCCAGAAATGGTATGAAGCAAACAGACATTGCCAGAACAGTAGAGTACCCCAGTGTACTGAATCCAGAATCCTGGACTACAGGAAACGTTATTCCAGGAAAGTTTACCGGTAGATATCCAAAAAGAACTGCCTGAGATGACCATGTTTTGATCAGGTTGATCAGAGGTTTTGCAACACGTTACAGCAAGAATGGCATGAACACATTTATTTCAGACTATCCACAAGAACGGTGAATAGGAGACTGACCAAACAAGATTATTTTGCAAGTAGGGCTATCTGCAAACCGATATTAACCAGAATTCACTACCGTCACCATGTTATTTAGGCAAGACAGCATGGAAACTTACTGTTAGTACACTGGCAACATGCCATCCTTTCAGATGGGTTATGTTCCCGGTTTGTTAGAGCTGATGACAAGATTATTTTGCAAGTAGGGCTATCTGCAAACCGATATTAACCAGAATTCACTACCGTCACCATGTTATTTAGGCAAGACAGCATGGAAACTTATTGTTAGTACACTGGCAACATGCCATCCTTTCAGATGGGTTATGTTCCCGGTTTGTTAGAGCTGATGGCAGGATTCGTGTTCATCGTTTTCCTGGAGAACGGATGAGGGAAGACTGTCTTTCTCACAGGGAACACATAGGAAATAGTGCAGTACATGTTTGGGCAGCTATTCATCATGATGGAAAACTGCTCTTCATATCCTCCAAGGAAACGTCAATGGCTCCTCCTACAGGCAAACGATATGGAGACGATATTTATGTAATATACTTGGGCAATGATTGGCAATAACTTTGTCTTCCAAGATGACCATGCCACTGTCCACAGTGCGCATATTGTACAAGATTATCTCGACCAGGAGGACATTACAAGATTTTCATGGACACCAAAGTCTCCAGATTGTAATCCCATTGAGAACTGTTTGGCAGAACTGAGTCGGAACATTGCTAACCATAACCCTAAACCAGCTACTGTAGTTGAGTTGCAGCACCTTCTAGTGGCAAGTTGGGATGAAATCATGGTGGATTATATCAATAACCTCATCGACAGCATGCCACGTCGCCTTGTGGAGGTTATTAGAGTACGAGGAGGATCAACCAAATACTGAATGTTTAAAGTGAACTGATCTAAAGTTACAGACGCTATTTATAACAATTTGATGATATGTTTTGGTAAGGTTTTGGTTGTGATAGGTGAAATCCTGAATTAACCATCTTTCTACAGGTGTCTGATAAAATTGTTTGCTGTTTTAATAAATCGTTCATGATGTCCATATAACCTGTCTCATTATACAAACTACATATGTAGATGTTTAATATAACATTAATTTCTCAGTCTGACAGTGCTAAGTGTATTTGTATTCCATCTTAATAACAATGATCTTATTTGTTACAAAATTTACAAACATTTTGGCCAAGATCGAAGAAACAGATAATCAACAACACCCACTGTCGACTTGTCATGTCTGATCGAATAGTGGGATTTGACCTCACTATTATTATGCACCCACGGCCTCATAGTGTTTTCATGGCAACGGGACGCGAGCAATGAACCTTTATATTCACAGTCCGAGTACACTAACCAATATTCTACACTGGCCAAACACTTTAACATTTTTAATTTTGATGAGGAAATATATAATCATATATTAAAGTATATACAAAAGGAAGCATATAAATGCATAGCATATTACTAGCGTCACCCAAGTCACAAGTTAATAATGTCAATGACACAATATTATATAGCAGATCAAGTTCTATATAATATGTATATACAAATTCCATTTTGATTCCAAGTACAACGGAATTGTGTTTTCCTTCATTAGTGAATATTATTATTGCATCAATTCAAGAGGCTGTGAAAAAACTAAACGAAACATTCATCATGAGTTTCGTTATAAAATTAAATAGGCGTAATTAAAACGTGAGAATAAATCAAAAATTAATCTGATCTATAAATCACACAAAGCAATGAATTAAATTAATCTGATCTATAAATCACAAAAAGCAATGAATTAAATTAATCTGATCTATAAATCACACAAAGCAATGAATTAAATTAATCTGATCTATAAATCACAAAAAGCAATGAATTAAATTAATCTGATCTATAAATCACACAAAGCAATGAATTAAATTAATCTGATCTATAAATCACACAAAGCAATGAATTAAATTTAGAAAATAAAGCAAGAATCGTATTACAACTCTAGCAGACAAGAGAACGACTGTTGTCATGTTAAAGATAAAACAGTGGGGACATAAAAAAACGAACTGCTTACCGACACACTGTATACTAAAATACGCATTACCTTGAATATATACATTAAACATTTAAATAAAATATCTTGAGAAAGTGAAAAGTTCCAAGGAAATAACAATGGATCAATATTGATAACTATTTCGTCACGCCATGCATTTCTTGCCCAACTCCACGCCCTCCATAAGATCCATAAATTTAGCACAGAACTATGTCTTATATGTCAGTATTCTTGCATATGGTGCTTCTAAATACTTAGTTAAGACTAATTTGAAGTATCTAGCATAATACTCTGAACAATTTGTTCAAATTAATTTTCGCGATACAAGCCACACACGC